GTGAGATTAGATAGTGATCTTGAAATACAGTAGGGAATCCAAATATTTGTATAGATTTGTTGATTTAGATAAAGTAATAGTTGAATAGAAAGAGAGCAGGCAAATTTGTTAGAAGAGGTATATTCGCGTAATGTATTAATAATATTAAGTAGAACCAAGCCAGAAAGTGTAGAGAACAAGGATGATTTGTGTGAAAGAGTGGGTTTGTAGGCTATCAAGATTTTTAATTTAGTTGAGAAGATGAGATACTTCAGTTTGTGAAATTTGAAGTTTATTGGGAGTTAATATATGTTGTAGAGAGGTGTTAAGCAGAGTTAAGAGTGGCTCTGGAGAAGGGCATGTAGTTCAGTAGAGTGCATAAGTTGGTTGTTGGCAGTGATAACAGGTATTAGGGTAAGAAGGATATCTTTTGTGAAGAATATGTGGAGATGGAAGATCGTTGAGTAGTAATTTTACTCTAAATGTTTTAAGTGTAGATGATTGAAAACTATAAGAGAAATTTGAGATTTTCTGGTTATTATTAAGGTACAGCCAAGTAGTGTCTCAGTGGATATCTTGGGAGAAGCTAAACCATTGTAAAGAGTGATGTTGAGAGGACCATCGTGTGAAGATGTTTGCATTGCAAATAGTTCAGATGCTACGGCAAATAGGAAGCTACAAAGGATAATTGTTAAAAATTGAAATAAATAGTGGGTTATAGATATTGTGAGGGTTAAAAGTGAGAAGTGGTGCAATAGAATGACTATGTGCAAGTTCATCAGCTTTGTTGTTAAACTCGTTGTCTTGGTGTGCAGGAACTTTATAAAATGTGATTAAGAGGTTGTAAGAGGATAACAAATTTAAAAATGTATTCCATATAAACCAGTAAGAGGTATTGGAGTAATTTGCAATTGTTGAGAAATGCAAAAGGCTATTGTATTTAGAAATAACTGATTGAGAATCAGTGTAAATATGAATAATGGAGTTTCATGGAACTGTACAAATAGCTGATAGGATTGTTAAAAGTTCTGCCTTAAAAGAGCAAGGTGTGCATTAAGAAATTTAAATTTCGTATAGTTTATATTATTGAATAAAAATTAAAATAGTAATGACAAGAAAAAAAATAGCAAATGATAATAACCTTCAATATCAACATCTTCATGATCTAATTGTATAAAATTATTAGCTTTGATAATAAACCAATTGCTAAATAATTTTTTAAAATCTTGTGAAATGTTGACAAAGCCTTGATTAGATTTTGAGATTCTAATATCAACACCACCATTAATAAGATGCCAAATAGCAAATAATGTAGTATATCGTTTCAGCAAATCTAGTTCAATATTCTTGCAATTTGTTCATAGTACCATGTTTTTAAAAATTTGGTGAACTATTTCTTTAGTACCAACTGAAGTATTTACAAGGTTGCCATATATATGTGCATGTAATGGTAAATGGCTATTTATGTGAAGATTTAGAATATTCTCAAATTCAGCAAAAACCTAGCAAAAAATTATTAATAGGCCACAAAATCCTGGCAACAAAATCCCGATACACAAAATCCCGACAAATTAAAATCCTAAAAATATTAAAATTAGGAATTTAATTTGTCGGGATTTTGTGTATTGGGATTTTGTTGCCGGGATTTTGTGTGTCGGGATTTTGTGTGTCGGGATTCTGATATACAACCATAGAGAACAATAAGAAAAAGTGCATTTATAGAGGTCAAATTTATATTGGACCAGCAATTGAGCATGCATTTAGAGAGGGTGTATACTTATAGAGAGTGCACTTAGAGAGGTCTAACTATATATATAATATATATATATATTAATCTTTAATTTATGAATAGCATTTTTTGAAGACAGTCATGTTTTTATATTGTGCATGAATAAGAATATGGCAACAAGACTATTGCATGCTCAATATTTTCAAGTTGATTTGACATTTAAACGCATTCATGGAAAAATTAATGAATTTGAATTTAATGAATTTGATTCAAATCATAATATTAGTTAAGTAAACTTTATACAATATATATTTAATTATTTATATATTATATTACTAATTTTTATATTTTTAGTACTTACATATGCACGAATTTTTACAAATATTTTGACAGCAACTTCTTATCAGCGTATGTTCAAAGCTGTAATTGAAACTGTTAATAAGCTTTGTAAACAAAAGGTTCAAATTAAACATATCCATAATGATGGTTGGCATGTTATTCTTGGTGACCTAGACATTGCACAAGTGAAAGGTCTTGCTCTAATGCTTGTAGATTTAGATCCAACTAAAGACTGGGAAACTCATTTAAAATATATTTTTAAATCTTGTCGTATTCACTATAAAAGGAAAGTATATTTAAAATTTTAAAAATTTTAGATATTATAGTCAAATCTCTCTAAGTGCACGCTCTTGGAACCACACTTTAATAACATGTATATAGAGACCAATAAGAAAAAGTACATGTATAGAGGTCAAGTATATATTTGGGCCAGCACTTGAGTATGCATTTAGAGAGTGCACACTTACAGAGAGTGCACTTAGAGAGGTCTAACTGCATTACTAATAATATAATTAATGTAATTTCTTTTTTTTTTATAGAAATATTTTAAAGTCAAAACTTTCTAATAATTTAAAAAATTTAATGTATAAGCTATTGACAGCTAATAAGGATCGTGTAGTTGATATATTTCAAGAATTTGCTACGTCGAATGAAGATGGAGCATTAGGTATAAGTTTTATTATATATTCTAATAAATAAATATCATGGTACAAATTATAGTTACTTGAGTTTTTTAAAAAATATAGAATGGGAAATTATTATATGAAACCATGGAGATTAGCATCTTTAAATTATAATTATTCAAATATTGCTGAAGAAGATTGGCGTAGTGTGGAAGAAAATACAAATGCTGCTGAGTCAGCACATGCCAATGCTAATCGAGAAGGATCTCAAATGAGTTTATTGCTTGCAATTAGAAAGTTTGTATTTAATTCTTATTTTATTTTATATACAGTCAGACCTCTCCAAATGCACGCCCTTGGGATCACACTTTAATAATGTGTATATAGAGAATAATAAGAAAAAGTGCATTTATAGAGATCAAGTATATATTTGGGCCAGCACTTGAGTGTGTGTGCACTTATAAGGAGTGCACTTAGAGAGGTCTGACTGTGGTTAAAATTAAAGGTTCTATCTGTAAATCATTTATCTATTTATCTATCAGGTATCTAATATCTGACAGATAATTGGTTAAAAGAATTAATAAATGGTTACAGCATGATTCCCAAAAGTTATTTCCCTGACTAGACATCACACAGGGTAACAACTTGCTAAAAATAAATACCCACAACTAATAGAATGCTAACTCTAAACCTATATAATGTTGAGTAAGTGACCTGTCGAGAAGTGTCTTTTGGGGAATTGAGCAACAACCTTAATAAATGAATAACTGAATTATTTTTTGGTTATTCAGATTATAAATACACTTTTCTTATTGTTTCTAAATACATATTGTTAAGGTTTAATTTTTGAGAATATACGCTTATAGAGGTTTTACTATACATATATATAAATATATATATTAACCATATATTTAGATATAATAATAAATAATATTCTATAAATGCTCTTAATAAACAAAGTTTGTTATCTTTATCTAACAAAATTATATTTTTTAAAAAAAATATATATAGAGGAAAACGGTTAGATGAACGTTGATTTGCAATGTGTAAATGTCAAGATCAATACAATATCCCCAAAACTGGTCATTCGTCAGGACCTATAGCTGAAGCCACTAAGTCAATTAAAAAATTTGGTAAAAACTATATTTATACAATATATGCTATATATACCAATATTAATTAATTTATTAATATATAACTATTATAAATATATATATATATATATTAGAACCTTCAAACCACAAAAAAAATCTGCCTACTAACAAAAGAACTTCAAATTCTAATGCAGCTATGGCAAACAATGAAGAATTAAATGATTTGGATACTGAAATTGCCAAATGAGAAAAGTTACGAAAACTTGAACTAATCGACTATGAATTTCAGCACCAAAAAGAAATGTTAGATATTGAAAAAAGAACAAAATTAGCTAACCTTCATACCCAGGAGTTAGCAAATATCGAAAAAGAAAAGGCTTTAGGTATTAATAAGGATTAAATTTATTGTTGCAAATATGTATGTCTAACAAATATGTTCTGATTATAAGCTTGCTGCTTATAAATTTATAAAAAATTTTTATTTTCGATTTTAATATATATTCAATAAAAAGTTTGTTCTAAGTTACGAAAGCTATAATACAGTAATAAAATTCACAAGCTGATTGTTTGTAGATTATTACTTAAAGTTGATTTACACAAAATTGTAATCATTACGTTATTCGCGTAATTTACGTGATAGTTATTTCAATCTACCAAATATGAAATATGAGAATAACTGCTCTTATAAAATCCTATATTTCATATTTCATTCATATATTTTTTTCTTTTTTTTTGTTATAAACTCGCTCATTATAGTCTAATCACCTTATAATCATACTATCGAGATTATAGTAGTTTTCTTCAAAAATCTGCTTAGTTTTTCTCGATATATTTATAGTGCTAGTTTAAAGTAGATGTGGTAATAAAAAGAATTTTTATATAGTATGCTCATAGAGAGGTGATTATATAGAGATTTGACTATATATGCCTACTATATTTTACTACAATATATACAGTAGCACCAAAATACCAATTAATTACTAATTTTAAAATCATATTATACAAAAAAAATACATCAATCTTCTTTTATTCTTTAAACAAGTTTAATAATAAATAATTAAATTTATATACAGTGAAACCTCCCTAAGTGCACACAAAATGCACTTAGAGAATGATAAGAAAAAGTACATTTATAGAGGTCATGTATATATATGTGGGCCAGAATCTGAGTGTGCATTTAGAGAGGTTTCAATGTATATCCATTTAATCATTTTTAATATTTTTACTAGTCCAAATTAAAAAGTTCAACACATATGACATAATTCGAATGTTATTCAATATGCCATTCAATCCACTATTCAATGTCATCACTTGACTTCACGGACATGAATGTCCGTGAAATCATATCATAATTTTAAATGACAGGTTGACGAGTGTTTTAAAAATTTTTACTATTCGCTATTAATTTTAATTAAAATAATATTACCCTTTTTCTTATTACCTTATATACAGTTAGACCTCTCTAAGTGCACCCTCTATAAGTGCACACCCCTCTAAATGCACGCTCAAGTTACAGCCCAAATACAGTTAGACCTCTCCAAGTGCACATCCTTGGAACCACACTTTAATAACGTGCATATGAAGTATAATAAGAAAAGGTGTATTTATGGAGGTCAAGTATATATTTGGGCCAGCACTTGAGTGTGCATTTAGAGAGGGTGTGCACTTATAGAGGGTGTACTTAGAGAGGTCTGACTGTAGTACTTGCTCTTAGAGCGCTCTCATTACATTAAAACAATTGATATATTGTTATTTCAATTTCCTTAACCTATTAACTATAAAAAGAACTAACCAATTTACACGTGCCTAAAACGATGATACTTTTTGATTTATACCTGAAAAATAACAATGCCAGATATGTTAGTTCATAATGTACAATGATAACAGAGATTACCTTAATCACAAAATTCTTTAAAAATGAATTCATGATTAAAGAAGATTCCATAAGAACTTACCTACCAAAGATAGCCGGTTGTGACTTATATATAAACTAAATCGCATATATCCAAATGCCTTTGAATAATAATCTCGCAAAAAGTTCCGTATCTAATAAAAATCTTTAATTCTGACTCATTCGCTACTATAAATTAATACTTTACCTATTAACAAATAGCACTGATAACAATCATTATTACAATAACGATTATTATTAAGTTCAATGCTATTTATGTTATGAATCAATGTTGTTTAAAAAATAAAAATAGGACCCGATTTACTAACTCTTCCTAATGATCACTTGTACCAAAATTTTGCTAAAACAAAACTTAAATTTTCTTAAAACTACTCTTTTTAATACATCTTTTTTATTAAATTTTATTGTTCTACACCCCAATTTACATATAGCTACCAAGTTTTATAGCTCTAAACCAAT